GTCTGTAGGACCAACACAGGATGTATAGAAATTATATTGATAGGAATTGAATAGACGTTTCGATCCTCGGTTTGGATCCTCAATATAATATTGACAATTAACGATTTCGCTTTACAGTAAAGCAAGAAACGTCAATTTAAAAAATTGCAAAGCGATATCGAATCGGAAACATCGTAATAATCAATCATATCAAAGAATAAAAATCATCAAATAGCTCAGTATTTAATTAAATCATAAATCGGAAATTAAAATTGAAATGTTAAAAGATCATTGTGTTCTAATTAAAAAAATTAAATATATATTCATATATGTATAAAAAAAACAATAATTAAACAAATTCTAGTGCATTTTTATATAAAGCTGTTTCTATAAATTGGATTTTATGGATTATGTGTTTAAATCATTTTTCTCTTTCTAGTGGTTTTATATAGAAAAAGTGAAAGTTTATATCGCTTACATGACCAAGTTCATCTTCTAATTCCGCTACTTTTTCCAATGCTGCAGTCTTTGTCTCACTATCCTCCATTAAGGCAGCTACATCAAACACATTATCTAAGTAAGCTGAGATTTGAACCTAAAGCAAAAGATAATGTATGATAATTTATATAAAAAACATAAAAGAAACTAATAAAACTAAAATTATTATCAGGCAGAATATTTCACTCATAATTGGAAAGTATTTATTTATTCTGTATTACAAATATTGATTGCTATTAACTTATTAAAGTATTTATCATATCGTATATGATAGAGATATCTTGATCGTTATTAAATTATATTGTGAAAACAAGAATAAAATTTTTTTCTATCAGATATCTATCGTCTTATTTTTTTTGTTCCCTATATAACTGATTAAAAGAGACAAACATAAGAATATTTATTTGCAATCAGTGCATTATTTGTAAAATTTTACATTAATAATTTAATTGTATTTAATAAATTTTATATTTAATAAATATTTTTAAATGTATAAATATACATATAAATATACACATAATAAATTTTATACGCATTCACAATTTACTGACCTGTAAATCTTCGCTCTCTGTGTGTCTAAGCTTCTCAAGATATTCATCTAATCCAAGCTTTGTGAATTCATACTGTAGATGTACTCTGAAGTTCATGTCTTCTACCGAATGCACGACAATATTGACGAATTGCATACAAGCAACCATAAACTCTATATGGAAACTATCATACTGAGTAAAATATTCCATAAGTGTCGTAAATCTTCTCCTCTCAGAACACATTTCTTTGAAGTTATCAAACGCTGATAAAATGATCTCGTGGCCACCTTTCACTAAACAGATTGCAGCGAGAAGTTCCAATACTAAAGCTTTCGTCCTGAAAGAGAATGGTACATTTATTGTAATGGCTAAATCATGAGAGCAATTACAAAATATAATATACAGGAAGTCCGATAAGTTTTACAAAGCGCTCATATAAATAGACTAAACTGAATCGAAAAATCCTGTATCATTTTGCAATTTTCGCAATAATTTATGAGAAATTAATTAGTAAAGATCGTTGAATGAGTTTACTTGGATGCTTTGGTGTGTGGCTGATGCATTTGAACAACCGACTCTTATTACATTAAAGTCTTGTTCTGACAAAAAAGGCTGGCAGATTTTTTTTCTTATATCATATATAATAAATTATTATTGTATCAAATTCCAACTTTGTTGAAATGACAACTATCCTATTAATATCGTATTTTTTGGGGGGATGGCAGACTGATATCGCTCCGACAATTCGCTGATCGACTGTCATTTTATCATTTTTTATATCATAAAATATAAACAATTAAAAAATCTTTGCTGTTATTAAACAAATGTTTATTTTTCTTGAGTAAGTAAAATAGTCGGTCTCTGTCCCGAAAGATTGACGGCAGACTTCCGTTTTAGCCATCTTAAATATAAAAATGACGACAAAATTGATAAATCAAATTGAAATGATGCAAAAAATGTTCACCAAATTATTATACATAAGCGGTGAAAAAAAAATTATTCCCCTACTGATCATATCTCGCGCGCTTGCATTTGATAGTAGATTGAATGGATGCGCGTTTATTCGGCGATCTTTCGAATATCTCAAAAATTGCAAAATGATATTTTTCGACTCAGTTTAGTTTATTGTACTTACATACGACTGTTTTGTCAAAATTTATCCTGTTATAAAAAGATAAAGATTTTTAAACGATAACCCTTTTAGAATATGCAGTTCTTAAGCAAAAACTATAGTAATTTAAATATAAAATGAATAAGTTGTTACAACACATTACGGATATTGTTACATGTTTTAAATTATTTCTAAACAATACGAGATAATAATAGACAATACATGTGTGTGACTTACCTCAGACTTTTGTGAATTAAACTTAATGCAATGCAGTTGATAGCTTCTCTGTGTTGAATAACCATGTTAAATCCATACTGTGAAAAATCAATATAAATATATTCATACATTTTATTATACGTAGGCGAGTTTCGATGATATTCGATCCAAATGAAAAAAATCAATCTTTTTCGAAGAGATGTTTTACCTTTTAAAAGTGACTTAGCACATACAAAAAAATACGTGTCTTTTATTTTACGTGTGAAAAACAACATACTAAAAGTTCATTAAAATCGAAGAAAGAATGCATTCAATCTTTTCTTTGTCAGAGAAAACAAGAAGATACAAATTGACCATAGACAAATAAAGTCCAAAGATCTATTTTATCAACAAGTAGATAAATATTCAAAAATTTTTAAATAACTTATAAGTATAAAAAATCCAATATACAAGTTGAAACTCGTATCTCTATATAAGATAATATATGTTACTTTTAATTTATAATATAATATATATTATATTATAAATTAAATAATATATATTATTTAATTTTAGTAAAAATATACAAATTCGTTATGCAAGAATTATAGTTTATGTTTATAATTTGTATAACTTCTAATAACTTTTCTAATTACATATTGATATGAACACGTTAAAATGATAAAATCAAGAGTCACAAGTCTTTTTGGATTTTCGAATGTTAGAATTAATCTTAAACAGCTGCTTGCATGCGAATTAATATTTACCTTATTGTTCATGATGGCACGCATGCACAGTATGCAAACATGAATATCATCCTTTGCTTCACCCATATTTAGGCGTGCCACATGTCGAGATCTCCTTTTGACCCCAGGACTATCTTTAAGCTCGTGAAGAGGCGGCCTCAAGCACCCGTTGTTTAATGGTGAGGTATCACTGCCCGCTGTGTTAATATTATCACCGATTTATTATTTTTGAAATTTACGATAAGCCAATTTGTCATAAGAACATTAGTATCTAATTATCTTATATACACAATATTCATTCGATAATCTTTACGTAATGTCTTAAACTACTTAGACTTTTTATTTAAAAAAATGGACTTTTATTAAAAAAGAGAGAATTTTTTTATTCACAAAAATATTTTCCACGGATAGTAATGTGATCTTTAATAATACTATTGTAACAATCCGTGATTAAATGAAAAAAGCAGATATTTGTTTTTCTAAATAAATGTAGAGTTCGACTTATCAAAATATTAATTAAATCTTTATATTATATATTTATTGTGCATAATTTATCGTAAATATGTATTTATCGTAAACATTATATTATTAGAAACGTCATAAGGAAATCTTACGACGTAATCGATTTCAACAAAATTATAGCGATTGGCATTGACGTCAAGTGATACTGAGCAAATAGATAAGGTGCGCTCTCAAACGTTTAAAAAAATGTTTTGAGTATAATAAGTGCAGCTAATAAGTAAGTTCGAATAGACCGCTTGATCGAAGAGTTCGGTGGAACAGTGCGCTTGCTAGTAATCTCTCGACCTTGCTGATTCAAATTCCAAAATTTTTTTTCTAAATAAAATACAATTATTGCATAAAATCAATCACATAGATTAATACATCTTGTCTATTTATCGTATATTACAAAGATGTATTTCTTTCCGTTTATATTCTCTGCCCAGAAAATTTGTTTAATAAGTGATTACTATACACAAATAAATCAAATATTTTATTCATTGAAAATAAATAGAGTACATGTTATATCATGAAAACAAGCAAATAATTATTCGTACATCTTGCAAATATTGTACAAAAACTGCGTTTTTACAGTTATATGATTGTTTTAAAATATTGTGAGAAAAATATACTTCATTTACATTCATGAATACTTCTCTTTCATCTATCAGTTTTGACGCAAACCATACATACCGTAACATATTTTCAAAAATCAGAATGGATAACTGGTGATATACGATTGAATGAATTTTAATGAATTAGATACAATCTTCACGAAATACTATTTCTAAATGCTGTTTTTGCTCTATTAAAAACAAACAGTTTTGCACAAATGCTTGATCAAAATTTTTACTTGCTTAAAAATATACGTCATACGGTTGACGTGAAGGTGCGTTTAATAGTGCATGTTCTTATACCATCATCGTTACAAATAATTTCATCATACAACGTAAGATTTTATTTAATTAGCCCACGAATTTATTAATAAGAGAAATTTCTCCTACTTCTTTATTTTGTGTAATAATATTTAAAAAAAATATATTCTAAAAAATTCAAGATTTGGAACAGCAACGTCAACATTATTAGTTAAGCGCTATGTATAGTAAACTATAGGATAGATTCTCTGATTTTATTTTTTTAATTTTCTTACCGGTTTGCAATTTTTCTTCAGAATTTGTGTAAGATTCCAAAAGTCGTTGCTCATGTCGCATCATTAATAACCTAAAGCTGAGATAGTCTATCAAAGCATCCAAACCTTGATTTTCTTCGTCTAAGAATTCTCTCACCCATCTACAACAATGCTCGATTCAAAATACAGATGACGAAAAGCCGATTCAAACGAACAAATAAACGTATAATGCTGAACACTATTAATATAATTATTTATGTGATCAATGATTAATACAATGGAATATGTAATTACATTGCACAAAATGAAATAGAATATATGCAGTTGCAATCTTCTCTCCTTCATTTCAAATATTAAAAAATTTCACATGCTTCGATAATTTTAATTTAAAATTCCAAGAGTCCGAAAATTTATACTCATTTAAAACCATCCTTTGACAATGTATTTGAAAGAAGAATATAAATATCACAATTACACTTTATGTCCGATATCAACTTTTAAAATTTTTCAAAAGTCATGTGATTGTGAGAACACGTCCCTCTATTATTTTTTCAAGAAAGTTGGCAAAATTAGATCTTATCAGAATAAAGTGTCGATTTAAAGTTATGAATTTTGAAAGGTATAAGTAGCGAGATTTTTAAGGTTCTGAGAGCAAATATGACAATATCACAAATGTACACGCACGCACACACGCACGTGCGCTCGACCGCGCCCGTCCACACGCACGCACGCGTTCTGGATGCCCTTAACAGTCATCGTAACAAAACTAATAATCATTTAATTCCTCGCATTAAAGTCCTCATCCTTAAGGCGCGGTAAAATAAAATTAAGTTGAATTTTATTTGGATCCTCTCTCATAGCGGCATTCTTGGCAAATCGAAATCATAGACTAACATGCCATACGGAAAGGTATCTAATATTTTAAAGTTCTTTACTCGGATCTTTATTCTATTTCCACATCTTATTTGAGAAACAGCTTTGATAAATTGAATGCTCGTTAAAGGCGATTTTTATTTTAAGAATATCTATCCAAGAACAAAAAATCTTGATTTTGTTGTATGCGACTCATATCCAGTCTCATTACTATGCTAAAGTTTTAGAAGTAACTATTTGAATCTCGATTACAGCCTCTCCCGCAAAAATATCATTGACGATCTTTCCTGTATATGTAGACATCCCACGATTCCATGTATTAGTTGCTGCCCATTTACACCGATTCTCAGATAATTCTCACTTATGACATCATAACTCAGTTGAATGCGCGTTCCTTTTGCATTATGACAAGTGAGATTTAACTGAGTTTTTGCCTATAATCTGCACAAGATCGAGACTGTGCTTCGTAAATTCACTTTAAAAATGAAGTTCTGAACCTGTGTTGTCGATGATAACTTTTTACCAAAATAAGCAAATAATTACATCATTAACCTGAGTATAAAATACTCAGCTCATTTTAGACTCAGTTTCACTTGTGTGTAAATGGGAAGCAACTATCTTTAACTATCTTCCGACTGAATCCCACACACATTTCCGCTACGCTCTGCTTTGCAAGAGCCTATCAATTCTGAAAATAATCATCATTACATTATCTATGCGCTACATAATCCCTCAACTAAAATTTGCCTTTTATTTGTGAGCTTTGATAAAGTCTGTAACCGCAATCTATGACTCATATTCGCGCGGCTCTCACTCGCGGTATTTGCGCAGGCGCTTCGGCTCCTGCTCCTGACCTTTTCGTCCCATCCCAGCGACGGATATCATGCCGCTTACCGCGAGGTTTTGGAACCACTGCCGGTTCCCTATCGGCTGATGACTTATGTTGCCATCCAGCGCTAAGGCACTTGGGATTTTTCCTTGTATACTCTACGTCACCTCTCAATGAAACCTGTGACGAAATCTCCTTGGAGATAGGAGCAAATTAAACAAAAAGAAGAAAAGCAGCTTGCCACTGAGTCAAAAAAAGATGAAAAACTTGAACAAATCGTACAAATATAATGCTTATATAAAAAAAAAAATCTCTCCTTATGATAATTTTTTATTTCTGTTTGGTCAATTCTTCAAATTAAGATTCTTTATGAAGATTTAACTTCGCCAAATTCCTTAGGGAAACGATAAAGATCCATGTCCTCGATACAACCAAATCTACGTAATTTTTGGAAAATTTTTGCGGCCACACTGTTAAATTTTTTGGAGTGAAATGTCACTCTAAAGAGTTAAAATACTGCCATTATTAAAAGAGTAAAAAATTTGCACCCTTGAATAAGAGTGGCAGATTTTTAATTTTTTTTGGAGTGAGATTCATTCCAAAGGAAAGAAATATCTCACTCCTTTTTTAGAATAAATTTCATTTCAAAAGTGAAATCTCTCTCCCCCCCAAAAAAAGTGAAAAATTTGTATTCTTTAATAAGAGTGAAAATCTGTCACTCTTATCAAAGAGTACAAATTTTTGTACTCTTTTTCAATAATAACAATAATTTTTGACTCTTTTGAAGTGAGATTTCACTCCAAGAAATTTAGAGAGTATCAAAAATAGTTTATTAAGAGTACAATTTAAAAAAAATTTTCATAAGATAGCCGAAATAAAATGTATATTAAGATGGTAAAATTTTTCAAGCTGAATAAATTATTATGATGGTTAAATAATTATTAGAGTCAGTTCTTACTCAATGTGATTTGTGCGTAAGGATATTTCCAAGTCACGTAATACTTGAGTCGATGTAGATTCTCCGACCATTTTTCTTTTCTGGAAGAACATAAGGAAACGATACGACTGTGTAATCATTAGTATCTGTTTGATAATGAACTTCTTGCGGATGGATCCAATTATCATTGTAAAAAAGATAAAGAAATTTAATATTTCTTAAGTAAAGGTTAATCGAATGAAGCTAGAGATCGCTAACTTTAATTCCGTAATCCATATCGAAATAATAAAAACAATAATACATGTCAAATTAATAAAATAAAATTTTCGACTTTAACATGATTATCTTCAGTGTTACACAATCACAAGTTGTCAACGCTGTCATTAAATAACATTGCAAATTAACAAAAATGACAAATCTTTATTATTTATAAATAAATAGTGGGAGATAATTCCTCTTTTTATATGGTAAATTCAATTGTCCAATTCGATTAAGTATATTATATTCAAGGCAGTTAACTCTCCCTAATGACCAGACCGTTTAAGAAATTTATTCTGGTTCCCTAACCATTGTACAGTCATAATACACGCATTGTAGAGTAGGATAAATCCGATACATATGTCACACCTAACAAAAAACTTAATTTATTACTATTTACTATGTTTAAGGTATATATTATATTAACAAAAATTTTGTACTGTTTACTATCATGAAAAAAATATTAGGAATCTGAAATACTTGATTTTCATATTAAAAAAAAATGTTGAAATCCTTACATTTTTGCCATATATCTCGTGAACATAAGATTACTCATAATATGGAATATATGACCTATAATAAAACATAAAATAATACAATAACTTATAAAATGCGTTTATAATGTTTTATTAAGAAATAAAAATTATGAGATAAATATATATATATATACCAAATAATAGATAATAATTCTAATTCTTCTATTATTGAATCCAATACACTATGTGTGCTTTGCCAATGTTGCAAAAAAATAGTTATCACAATCACTTTTTTTTCTCAGTTTGGATAATAATGAGCTAAAAGTTATAGTGGAAGCAAATACTTTTCAAACTACGCATTAGCATCAAGATTTGATTGATTTTTCGCATTATTGAAAAAGTCTCCGACATTAAAATCACATTGCGTGATAACAATTTTAAGCTTTTGTGATGAAATGGCTAATTTGAGAAGTAAAGGAATAAATCTTTTATATATATATATATATACATACACCTATATATATGAATTAAATTTTGGGAGAAAAATAACAGTTCAAAAAAAGAAATTAATTTGTGCTACAATACGCATGGATACATATTTTACAATGTATGTATTATGATTATGCATTATACTATACAATGTAGAACCGGAATAAATTTCTTAAATTGATGATTTGGTCAGGGTGAATCAATCGTCTGAAATAACTCGATCGGACAATTGAATTTGTATTCATGATATAAGAAAAAGAATATCTCGCATTTATTTATAACAAATAATATAGAATTTCATTTTTGTTAATTTACAATATCTTATGGCAGCATTGTAATTGTATAAAACCAAAGATAACTATATTAAAAATCGAAACGTTTGTTTTATTATTTTGACTTGTATTGATATTTTATCATTTTCATATAAACTACAGGATTATAAAGTTAGCAAACAACACCTAACTGTGTCAATTTGAGTCCCACGCGATTACTGAAGAGTTAAAATAAGCATATGTAATCAACATGTCTTTAAAATATATTAATTTTTGCTTGAAAAAATGATTATATTATGCGTATAAATGAAAATGCGCATGCACATGGTGTTAATGGGGAAAAAAAATGTAAAAAAATATTTTTAAAAAACATACTCGATGGCTTCGTGATGCTGTAGGATCCAGATAAGTACGTAATTTCGCCAAGTAATGGGATGGTGGATCTTTAGCTTGTACTCTTTCCTGTAAATATAAATGTTTCATTATGACTAACTTATTTATATGAATCTAATTCAATTATAATTCTCAATTTCTTATAAATATAATTTGACATTCATAAACTCTTTTCTCTGCTAAAGCATTAATTTTGATACTATGGCCAGATAATAAATTGTCTTTTTGGTCTGTATTAATGTTGAATTTCTAATTTTAATTTCTATATTTATAATTAAAAGGATTCAATATTAATATTTATTTATTCTTTATATAATAATATCAATACATGTTCTTGTTATATATTTTTACGATTATATATTTTTATGATAAAGGCTATGCGTTTTTATCTCCGCGTCTAAATCCATTATTAGAATGCCTACATTTCGTGAACATTGTAATTCATTTTATCAGAGCGAAAAACAGCCTGATGCTGAATTGCTTTTCCAAGGGGTTCCTTTTATATACGCTGTTTAAAGGTAGAAGGAGAATGAGGGAAGAGAATGGAGAAAAGGGAGAATAGGTCGATCAATCTTCGATGACTGGGAGAATAGTCTTCCATATTCTACCCATATTGTAATCATTATCTCTGTTTAGATTCTTGAGATGTTTTTGTATCTCTATAACATCTCTATACTTTCTTGGAAAATATGATGTAATAATGACTATTACTGTTTTACTAAACAATATTTGATGTCCTATTTCAATGCTGTGTTCTGATAATGCTAACTGTGTGATATTTTCACGTTGACGTTCTTTCATCCGTAAATTGACTATTCTTCCAGTCTCTCCAATGTATATTTTCCGCAAGAGCAAGGCATTTTATATATTCCTGCGGAATTGAATGGGTCTTTGGTCTTTGAGATTTCTCAACATTTGTCTTATCTTTTTAGAGGATATAAAAATGATTCAGATACTGTGTTTGTTTAATATAAAATATCCTGCCTATCCTATTTATTGTTCCTTTGGGAACATATGGGAGAATAAAAAGAATACTTTTGTCTGATTGTGTGATAAGATTCGTCATCTTATCTGTTTGCTGATTATTTTATTTATATCTCTTTTATCATGCCCATTTTTTTGTAAGATTTGTTTTAGATGATTGAGTTCTGCTTCTAGGTATTCTTTGTCAGAGATGGTGAATGCTATATGCACAAGTAAGTTAATTGCTGACTGCCTTTGTGCTGAATGTGATTCTGCATGTAGATAACTATCTGTGTATGTTTTCTGTACACTTGATGACCTAAGGACCACTTCGACTAATTATTAACTTTGATCGATGATTAGGCCATTGAAATTAACCAATCGTATTTATCATTTCACTTAAAACAGATGCGATTGGCCAATTTTTATAAACTAACCGATTAAAGTTAATTGGAGTTGATCGAAATGGCCTTAATATACCATCAATTTTTAGTGAAAAGCACAATGAGGAAAGGGAAATTTTCCTTCTTCTATATCTATAGTGAAATGAATATTGAGGTATCGATTGTTAAGAAAAAGAATTTACAGAGTTTAGTTCTGTCATGTCTCCAAAATCATGAAAAGAGGAAGATCGGGACACCATCTTCACAAATAAAGAATCAAACGGTCAAATTGCTTTAAAACGTAAGATTTTTTTAAAAATCTCATTTTTTTATATAATTAAGGGATTATATATTTTTTATTTATTGAGTATTTTTAATAAATGTTTATTTGTTTTGAAATAAAAATGAAATTACATTTTTATTTTAAAAAATCAATTTTTTAAGAAATGACCCATAATGTTCCGAGTATGGGAAATTTGTAATATGATGCAAAAAAAAAAATAAAAATTCGATTACATCGATTTCAATCGTTGCTCTATCTATACTACAATTACTATCTAAATTCATTTTGAGATTATTATATAAATTTTATATACATACATATACACACACACACACACACACACACACACACACACACACACATATATATATATATATATACACACACACTCACTTGATCACATATGATGTCCCATTTCTTTTCGTTGTCATACTGTTTTAACAGTTTCGCCTTATCCGGTGGTAGATCCATGGAGGCCTGCAATACAAGAAACACTGTACCTATTATTTTAATCAGCATATATATGCAAATTCTATTTTATCAATTTTATAAATTTTGTGTAATTTATTAATGTTACAAATATAGAAAATACGCTTTCCTCTGTTTTTTACATATTATTATAATAATTCAAATTAATTAATATTTGTTTAAAAAAATTTTTTAATAAATAAATTTTTGAATGAAACAGAAATAATTTTTTATTCGAAAAATAATATTTTTTATTTTAAAAATAATCAAATTTTAAAAGAAAGAAAACTCAAGACATTTTTTCATTTCTTTTTGAATATTAGTAAAATTTCAGATATCTTAAAAACAATGAAAATTTTTTTGTATAAAAAATGTTATCAGGTAATTGAAATTATAGGTATATATAACGCTTCTCAAGATTTAATGAAACTGCTTCTCAAGATTTAATGAAACGTTTTTTTTCTTTGCAACCAATTAAAAGCTGACTAATATTCCTATTTATATGGTTGTGATTCTCATTAATTCTACTTTTTAACTGCTGATTTGAACAGATGAAGCACTTTTTTCTTTTTTTTTTATTTCGAATTGATCCTGCCAACTTAATATTAAGTTAGTTGTACTACGATTTTTTTCGTAATGGTATATAATACAAAATTGTCATTAATGGTACAATTTAGTACAAAATAAGAATTAAATATTCTGATTTGATTTTGCTGGTTTAGTGCTGCCAGCTTTATAGAGCTTAAAAAACATTTCGTCGCGCAATTTTGTAAAATTGAATATGTATGTAAATTCACATCGAAATATTTAAGACCGAAAATTTTGACCGAAAATAGGATTATTTCTTTTAATTTATTTATTTTTCTCAATTTAATTGCGAATTATAATAGATTATTAACTGCTCCCTAATCGCAGCATGTCAGTTAGTAACGCCCAGGATCCTCTATGTAGCAATCATTATACTTTACCAAGCCGATACCCTCATCCTCACCCACGTCATGCCTGAACAAATTTATATATGTGTGATGGGTAGAAAGAAGAAAGAAAAAGAGAAAGAGTGAAAGGGTAATGACCCGGAAGAAAGAGAAACGCATTAGATTAATAGACAGTAAAGGGACATTGAAGGAAACAAAAAAATGGAAACGACTCGTTTTTGAGATATGAATATGTTCAATGGGTACATGAGAAAAATATTGGTTGAGAAGACGTAAAGAATAGAATACGAGGAAGAAAGAGAGAGATAAAAGGATTTCTGTTCAGAAGACAAATTTGTGAAGAAAAGAAAAATGTATTCCTATAACACGAAAACTGACGAAGAAAAACTGACGAAGATAAGAAGAAACTGCGGAGATAGACGAAAAATAATATATTGTATATGTAAACAAAATAATTTTATTTTGTTTACATATACAATATATTACATATATTAATATACATATAATTATATACATAGAATTAATATGTATAACGACAAAACAAAACTGCAAGGAAAAAGAAGGACGATTTAACAATTTACGTAAATAGAGAAATAGGAACACATGATAAAAAACATTGTGTATTTGTGTTTAGAAACAGGGTTTAGAACAGTTCATTCATGTTCTTATAACTTGCTTCACGATGGAAAGTCATTACGCAAGAAGGGGAGTGTTCAGGATAGTTCTTAACACTGTATGTAACAGAAATTAGACGTTGTTTTTTAAACAATTTGTTTAATAATTAATAATTTTTCAATGAATAACAAGCGATAGTTAAAATCTTAAAATCTTGACGAGGTCATTGAATTTTAAAAGGTTAACCTTAAAATAATATTTACCTATAAAATAATATTGTATTTTTCTATTATAATATTTATAATGCAAGGTGGCAAAAACTATGTTTTTTTTTTTTAAGAACAACATGTTTTTTCTTAAATATATTTAAGTTTTTAATATTTCAAATATGCTTTAAATAATGTTATAAAAAAACATGTTTAAAACATATTAAAAACAACAATTAAACATATTTTAAACTGTTTAAAACATGTTTTTTACCAATCCTGTTATAATGGAATTATAATATCATAAAGTTTGTAATCATAAAATAATGTTTCAAATTAGAAATTATAATAAAATAAAAAGTAATGTATGATTTTATTTCCAAATTTAGAAAAATTATATTTCTAAGAATGTGTTACAAACAGTCTGTATATAGGAAATTATATTCTTTTTTTTAGAAAGTCGAAAAGTTACGCTCTAGTATCTACAGATTTCATTATTGCGCCATTATTTTACACGCGTCATTAATATTACTACTTACTTACTTGATAATATACAACATTATAAAAACATACAAATATAAAGTACTATATAGCTTTATATAGTTCTGTCTTTAAACGGTAGATGTAGAAAATTTAAGAAAGTTGCTCTTTTCCTCAAGAAGCCTACGTTCAATTATATGTTAGTCAAAATTGCGAGAAAATTTGTATTAAATTTAACATATTTCATATGTTTTATATGGTCTATTTAATTTGAGTGTTAATTTAACACAAAACGAATATTTTAGAAGGTAACATATTACTTAAAAAGATAATACTGACACAGTTTTAAACCAACCGTGGAAGCATTATTTTTTTTTCAATAAAATTAACATTTACAATATATTAAATTAACATATATTTTATTTATTCATCTTAAAAATTGCATTTTAAAACACATTATTTTTGTTATTTGTTCATTTATTCTTAAACTGTGTTATTTTGATACTAAGAAATATTGAATATCAATTTAATACAAGCTATTTAAATAACATAATCATATTATGTTAAATTGGCGCTCGAATATGTTAAAAAATTCGACAAAAAGCTTTAATAAGGACTTCAGTGGAACTATTTTCAATACAAATACGAAATGTTTTATTATATATAATTGAATAATAAATTTAGTATTGACGAGATATTACTTGATATAATCGTTTATCTATAAAAATTATATTTAATGCAAAGCTGTTCATTTCGATATTTTTATTTTAATTAAAATAATTTTTTTATATTATATTGAATTATCGAATATTAATAAAGTCACGTTCGCGCGTGTAGCGTTCGCGTGTGTAGCGTTCGCGTTCTCGCGTTCTGTATGGATCGCGCTTTCATAGCACTCGGAAATAACAACACTTCTGTATTTAGAAACCAGAACTTTAATGACGGAACTATCAGTACAATGATAAAGTCAGATAAAGCCCAGAAAACATAACGGAACGAAACTCTCGTCCTGTCGATTCTAAATCCAGGCACGGAGAACAACCGACGCGCGCTACTTCTCGATCTTCATGCAAAAACTCGAGAAAATTTCACAGCGCAAAATTTCGCGGGCGCAACAATATTATTAAAGATTATTAGAATATATTAACTTAAAAAAATGTAACACAATACACATTTCGATGAATAAAATCGTTATATCAAACAATATTCTAATAATTTATAATTAAGATAATATTTATTTTTGAAATAAAGGCCTTAGATTAAATTCTTATATCGCGAAAAGTTTTATTATTAAAAGCTATATAGTTATAATATCATGTAAAATTTTTTAGTAGTTCCAAAGAACACAAAAAGAAGCCATTTTTTATTAAAAAATATATAATAATAATATTTCATAAGAAAAAGATAAAAAAATAACGTGTTTCTACGTCTTTCCATACATCAAATTCAAAGAACAATTGTTCTTTATAGTCGCAATGAAAAACAGCGCGCGACTGAGGTTCATTTAACAACGACTGTCTCTTTCTGCGATTATGATGCACATTGCGATTACACTGGGTTTCTTATAACGCCCTAATATGCAGACAGTGTGTAACGCAGCTCTACATATGCGGACCGGACGGAAAGCCCATGCTCGCAATTCTTTTTTGCACGAAAAATATTGCAACGTTCGTCGCCGACAACATGTCGACTCACGTCGTCATGTACGATGCAGTTCGAATAAAATATTCTCTTTTCTTTTCAACCTACCTTAGCATACATAATAATCGGAGATTATCGATTTTTTATGATATTACTTCTTACAATTTAATATCAAATGAGAAGAGAGAGGGAGGTCAATTCTAGAAATACAGCTAATATGCAATATATCTATAATATATATAATTATTATTGACGCATCTTTAGTGACCATAACAAAGAGCACCGATTATTATAATTAAAGAGGGAATTAGCGTTTTCTCATTCTAGATCTATTATGCTAGATAAATTGCATTCGAGATGACTTTGATCGCTGATCTTGCATACATGGATCTTAAATAAAATAGATAATTCTATGATTTATATTGTGATATAATATAAATCACACAATTATATCAATGAAACAACTAATTTAGCGTTTAAGCCTTTAATATTTTAATTCATATATTTATATATTACTTATATAATATAATCTAATGAATTAGATTAGTATAAAAAACTCATTTTCAACACTTTAAAAACTATTTAAGAAATAAAGAGATTATTTTTGTGCAAAATTACTTTATTTTAGATATTAACAAAATTAATTAGCTAAATATTGTAATTTACTTAAACTATAATTACACAATAATTTTACCTTTATAATTAATTAATAAATTTGATTTTTACTATAATATATTTATAATTATGGAAATAGTGTTACAACATAATCTCAAAAAATTGTTAGTAATAAAATAAAAAACTTTTTTAATATAAAAATAGTGCACTTCAATTTAAATTTCTTCTTTAAAAAATTTATCGACACACACAAAAAATAAAAAAAATAAATAAAACATATGAAATTTAAATTCTCATTGAATAAATGATCAAAATGTGTGTTATTAATGTGACTCCTTCAAATATACATAAACGTGCGAAATTAGCTGTACCATCCAAAAATTTTCACGGCCAAATAATAATCAGTTTAAGCACCATTAGCAGCGACCAGTGTCCCTTGACTGGTAGGCTCTTTTATTTAATGCCCAGGAATAACTCTATTCGCACGTGCACACCATTTGGCTACGGGCCATTTCGTGGCGCGTACACTTGCTCTTCAGACTTTTCTTTGTTCTCTTTCATGAAAAGGAAGTTCTAGCCAGTCGATTAACAGCGTTGATTTTACATGAGAACTCTGTCATCGCATGTGATAATGATGTGCACCTCTGTGAAGTTGGCTCCACTTTTTTAAAATTTGCAAAAAATAAGCAGAGTTCTGATATTGAGAACTCCAGAGAATTCTCAATCTCTTTTAAAAGAATTTCGTTGATTAAAATGGTGAAAACACCATTTAAATTAATTGTAAGAAGGAGATGGATCAACTTTACGATTCTAAATTAGAGTTAACTTTACATATTTTAAACTTTCTTTAAATCACAATAATCATAGAAAAATAGAATCCTATGAATTAAATTAAATATACATTTTTGAATGTTTTTTAAGATTTATATTTGTTTTGGCTAATTAAAAGATTTCATTTATTTTCAAGTAGTTAATTTCTTATTGAATGTTATTTTTAAATATTGTTCATGTGCTTGGCATATATTTTTATTTTTATAATGTTTTTTTATCAAATTTTAAATTTTAACAAAATAACATTACAAATCATGAAAGATTCATCACACGTTCAGGAGACGCGTGCCGGATGTACATAATAATTAGTCATCGTGAATATTCGAATGTCAAGACGTTCGATGATCAAGTAGATAGTGAGCATTACGTATGTGATTATTTTTATTCATAAATAAAAGTAACGTTACTCACACAGGTCAGAGAGAGACGTGATATAAATCTTAATAAATTTTCAGCAATAATACTGAATGGAAAAAAGTTATAAAAGTGTCTAACTTATAGTAAACATTAAAGTTTAAATGGTTAACATTCATTTTTGTCAATGTAAATTAACTTTAATCTTGATTTAAATTACTTTTATTTTCTTCTAGTCCTACAAATTAAAAAAAAACAAATTAAAAAAAACAAAAAATTAAATCGAGATTATAAAATAAATCATTGATAAAAATAGACATAATTTAAGTAAGCACAATATCCATGTTTACGTAAATATTAATTTTATTGATGAGAAATTATTTTATTTTTGCTAAATAAGCATTATATTAAATATTTTTGTGTACCAACAAAAAATCGCTATAAGAAAAATAATGATAAAATGAATATATGAATGCAAAATAATTCATGGCATTTCATATTAAATATTACAACTTTCATGAAAATATTTTTCATGAAAATTGTTCAACTTATTTATTCATTCAAATTTCAAAATGTTTGTACAATTAATATGATCTTGATTCACAATTGAATTTTTCTTTTATCTAACTGGACCTAACATATTCCACGTACGTATACATACAAAAAAATAACTTGTAATTGTCCGATTTCTGTATAAACGAAAAAAAAAATATGTAATACAAAATATTGGGGAAAAATAAAAAAAAAGAAAAAGAAAAAAGTGGGCGAGACAAAAAGTAATGAAAAGTACTACGTGACAACAGATAAGGTATCGTCTGCTAGAATTGCCGCGCGTGAAATTATGAATAAGAAAAAGGGTGTTGCACTTAGTATACTCACGAGCACTTTGGTGAAGCGCCTCTCGAGCTCGACGGCGTCCGGCATCGGCTGTCTAGGTGCGCTACGCATGCTACCCGTGCGCGTGTGAGGTCCACTCAGGCTGCCCATGCCCATGTTGAGTTGACACGAGTGATGAGGCATGCCAGCCTTCACACCGCCGACGAAAACCTCACGTACACCACCATCGCCCTCCCCGCTGCGACTCTGCACGATACCCATATTTCCTCTATAGCGTTCGCGCGCGCGCGCGAGCGCGCTTGTTTGCGCCGGCGAATATTATTATATTACGGACGTACGGACGGAAATCTTCGGAGATATGTCGATTCGCTCCACCACTATATCACTAGATTACTCTGGATTACTCGATGCAGAACGGCGTAATGAGAAACGTAAACGTATAGTGTGATGATACACATACGTATACATACCACACACACATACATGACCACGCACACACGCACACATGCACTGTCAACGACGGCGCATCACATGCGCGTCTATGAAGAAACGTCAACAACGGACACGAACGCAGTAGTGCAGTGCATCCTTCGCCTCTTTCTCGTTGATGTGATGGAGCAGTTAGGAGAAATGCTGGTAAACGAACGAGATAAGGCAGTTCGTATCGGAACGTGCAACAGGTATTGCCAGGCGGATGTCCTGGTTGTCCATCGCGAATACCAAGACGTTCGCTATTCTCGCAATGCACGACTCTCCGCCGCGCACTGCGTTTGCTCGACGAGACGTTCACACCTACACCACACTGCTCGCATTCACATCACGACACTGACATGAACATGAACTGACAGCCACCGAACAACCTCGCGGAATCGCGATCATCCGTCTGCGGCGCGCCCGTCTGCATTCCTACACCTACACTTCCTGCTCTTTATGTATCAGACATGCGCGTTCATCGATCATGATACCATTCTTCGATTGCTGCGAAATTCAAATATTTTAAGATAAATATATTCGAGAAGTCGATTGTGTACTTTGAAATGACGTAAAAATTACAAAAGTAAGCAAATTTTCACTCAAATATTTACACTTCACTTGATAAATCTTAAGTGAATTTGTAATTTACAAAAATACAGAAAATCGATTCTGTATTTTGAAGCGAGGTGAAAATTATGAAAGTTAACAAATTTATTAGAATACTGATAATTTCATTGGTCAACACCTAGTAAATTTGCTCACTTGTAATTTTCACTTTATTTGAAGAGCGATCCTCTGATTGGTTCGTTATTCCCTATTGCTAATGCTTATTGTGTTTAAGCTTTAAAAGCTTAGGGCCGGTTGTTTTATCTTTTGATAAATTTTACCTGTGAAGTAAATCTGATAATTCACGCATGTGATTGGATAATCTTACTTGCCCAACAGGTAAAATTTACCAAAAGATGGATTCTATCTAGATGGATTATTCTAGTAAATTCGCTTACCTTTATAATTTTCACTTCGAGATTGATTCTGTATCTCGAAACGAGGTGAAAATTATAAAATGAGCGAATTTATTAGAATATTGATTATTTCATTGGTCAATGCCTAGTAAATTCGCTCATTTTTGTAATTTTCATCTTGTTTGAAGATACAGAATCGACCCTCTCGTTTTAAGATACAGAATCCTCTGTTGCCTGTGCCTATTGTGTTTAAGCCTTTACTAGCAGAACATTCCCTATATATCTCTTGTAGCCCAAACATGTGTGCGCATGAGCTAACGTTGCAATAATTAAGCTGCGTATACACCCAGCGAACGAACTCCAAATGCGTCTATTCGGACATTCGTATTTATATTTGTAATATGTTCTTTATCTTGAGTTTTGGAACGCAACTCTGCTCTACTGACTGCTGACAGCTCATGTCGTTTTGTCACAACAGCGGACAATGTTCAACTTTTTTGAAAGTTTTGTTTGTATTGGCCAGAGAGGTTCAAGTGACACGTGAATTACAGATTCATAATTAGAAAATGGCCGAGTCCGAACAGAGAAGTAAAGATGGTTGTAATACAACGCCGTCAAAGGAGACAATGGTGAAACAGGAAAAGCGTGACAGTACGTTGACGAATGGCGGGAAGGGCTCCGGCGATGATGCTGATAGCCTCGAAGAATTACCACTCGATATAGGCGAACATTATCTCGTTCGCAGATCTGACGACTCCTGGCGTATGTAACAATTCTTGTACTTGATTTTTTAATCTTGAAAATGATTATTACTGATTGTGATAACACGAGTTTGTAAACATGTATAGTATACTTGTTTTATCCATATACTTATATTATCAGCTTTCTGCTGATAATATTTGTTAAGATATTTAAGTCTTATAACAATATAAAGGACTAATCAAAGCATCGTGCTGTGTTTTATTTTTTTCACATCATGATATTTTGATTAGTTTTTATATTGTTATGAAATTTTTCCATAATAAGAATTATCTTTCATAGCAACTGCTTTATTGGGATTATATTATTGAACATTAAGTTAATTATCTTGAACATTAAGTTAATAAGCAGAATTATATTATATGTATTTTCGTTTGATTTTATTGTTTATTATTACATAGATCCTGCAGAAATTATCCAAACACGTTATAATGAAAATGAAAGTCATTATGAATATTATATCCATTATGATGGACATAACAGAAGATTGGACGAATGGGTACCTCGTGATCGAATTATGTCTAGCAGGTTTGATATGAGTGAAATAGAACGACATGATAGGAATTCTGGAACTGATTTATTAGCATTAGATTCTTCTGATCGTAAAATTACTAGAAATCAGAAGAGACGTCATGATGAGATTAATCATGTACAAAAGGTAAATACATCTATTAAATAGAATTATATATAAAAATTTTATTTTATATTAGATGCAATTTTTACATGTATATGAAATTTTTTTTATTATTTACACATATATGTGTATGTGTGTGTATATATATATATATATATAATATATATAGTTCTTATCGTCAGGTAAAACGGAAAGTCCTAAATTTAATATACATTAGTATATTTTTATTATTTTAGACTTATGCAGAAATGGATCCTACTACAGCTGCATTGGAGAAAGAACATGAAGCTATAACAAAAGTAAAGTATATAGATAGAGTACAGATCGGTAATTATTATTTCACTTGTGTATGTAATTCAATTAATGCAGAAAGGATTTCATGATTTCCAAAAGTTTGTTTGTAGGTAAATACGAAATTGACACTTGGTATTTTAGCCCATATCCAGAAGAATATGGTAAACAACCAAAACTCTGGATTTGTGAATATTGCTTAAAATACATGCGACTTGAAAAAACTTATAGATATCATATGGTAAGATAAAAAGTGTATTTATTGAACTTTTATTAAGAATATGTATTGTAATTATGATATATGTCTCTTTCAGAGTGAATGTACTCATAGACAACCAGTTGGGAAGGAAATTTATCGAAAAGGAACATTGAGTATTTGGGAAGTAGATGGCAGAGAACACAAAATTTATTGTCAGAATTTGTGTTTGTTAGCAAAATTATTTTTAGATCACAAAACCCTTTACTTCGATGTAGAACCATTTCTCTTTTATATCTTATGTGAGGTGGATAAGCACGGTGCACATTTAGTTGGTTATTTTTCAAAGGTACAGTACAAATTTAATAAAATATTTTTATATATTAACTCTAATAAAATAATCTCTTCAGTAGAGAATTTTTGTATCATTTTCTTATTTCACTTAAGAAATACACATTAACAAGTTTGTTTAATTT